CAGGTCCAACAGGTCAAACAGGTCCAACAGGTCAAACAGGTCTAACAGGTCCAACAGGTCCAACAGGTCCAACAGGTCCAACAGGTCCGACAGGTCCAACAGGTCCGACAGGTCCAACAGGTCCAACAGGTCCGACAGGTCCGACATGTCCGACAGGTCCAACAGGTCCGACAGGTCTAACAGGTCCGACAGGTCCAACAGGTCCGACAGGTCTAACAGGTCCAACAGGTCCGACAGGTCTAACAGGTCCGACAGGTCCAACAGGTCCGACAGGTCTAACAGGTCCAACAGGTCTGACAGGTCTAACAGGTCCAACAGGTCCGACAGGTCCGACATGTCCGACAGGTCCAACAGGTCCGACAGGTCTAACAGGTCCGACAGGTCCAACAGGTCCGACAGGTCCAACAGGTCCGACAGGTCTAACAGGTCCGACAGGTCCAACATGTCCGACAGGTCCAACAGGTCCGACAGGTCCAACAGGTCCAACAGGTCCAACATGTCCGACAGGTCCGACAGGTCCGACAGGTCCAACAGGTCCGACAGGTCCAACAGGTCCAACAGGTCCAACATGTCCGACAGGTCCGACAGGTCCGACAGGTCCAACAGGTCCGACANATATAAGTGATTGCATAAATATTCACTTGCTTTAAAGTGACTGTTTGAATTCAAGTCAGAGAAAATGTAGCAGACAGAAGGACAATGGAACATGAGCAGGTTCTCCTCAGACTGAAGACCACCACGAAGGAGGTCCAAACTTCTGCAGGTGTTCTGGGAGGTCCTTCAGTTAGTTTTTTAATGAAGGCCAGTTTTTACTGACAGGCAATAAAAGCAGACAGAAGGGTTTTTCTCAGCACAGTACAGATGTTATTTATCTGGTGAAAGTGATGTCTACAACACAAACACACATCCTGTCCACAGGTTACATCATCACTGGTCCCACTCATCACACTGGTGTTGGTTTGTTGGGGACTTTTCTTATTTAGAATTCTGTTTTTGTCATTTACACAAGTATGATTGTAGTGAACATTTAACCCCACCCCCTCCCTAACCCTAACGCTGCAGACTGACAGGAGTGTTGCATTGTGGGTAGGTTGCAGGCGACCCACGGCTGGTTCACTCTGACACTTCCTGTGAAGGAAAGATGGTTTCAGTTATTATCAGACTGAACAAATATTTAGTGATAAAAGTATCTTCTGATCTGTAAACAGACAAATAAAAATAAAATGATTCGTTTTATTTTCCTGACACAGTAACTGTGTTTGTGTTGCTTTAGCCCAGGAAGAGTAAAATAACTGTTTCCTGTCTCAGCAGGACACAGCACAGATCATACAACCATGTTTCTGACAGCAACAAGCTGACCAATGAACAACGAGAAGTTCTGAACCGTTACAGAAACCCAGCCTTCATGAACTGACAGCCAATATGGCGTCACGCTCGTACCACAGCAGTGGACAGGAAGATGTCTCATGACTCACCTGCTTCCTGCCGGCTCACATCTGATTGGAGAAGGAGGTTGGCGCCCCCTGCTGGCCGTAGCCCTGACCGTATTCTGCCTCCTGGAAGAGAAAAACCCAACAGCTTCATTCTGGTTTCAGAAAACCACCATCATCATCATCATCATCATCATCATCACCATCATCATCATCATCATCACCATCACCATCATCATCATCATCACCATCACCATCATCATCATCACGGTCCAGAACCAGGACCAGAACCTGAATGTTTTCAGGGTAAATGTTGACCCTCGGTGCAGAGAAGGAAGTCGGGGATTTGGATCAGATAATGATTTGTTCTGGTTCTGGTTCTGGTTCGGTCAGTACCTGCTGGTGGGCTCACCTGGTTGTAGTCAGGTTGGTAGCCCCCCTGGTTGCTGGCGTACGGGTCCTGTTCGTACGCCCCCTGCTGGCCATAAGCGTCGGGGGCGGGTTTCTCCTGAGGGGGCGGAGCCCGCATGAAGGGAGCGATGATCCCCGTCTCCTTAAAGACGAACCAGAGGTTCCCGACCCACAGGATCAGATTAATGAAACCAAACGCCTGTGAGAGCAGACACACAGACTGGTTCAGGTCTTTATGGACCCCCACAGACCCTCAGGTCTAGGTGAGGTCTTACCACAGACGTGTTGAGTCCGGACATGACCGGGTCGTGGACTTCACGGCACCGGTTCCTCTCGCTGTTACAGGCAGGGATCATAGTGATGACCTTGTCTGGGTCGGTGGCGGTCTTCACGTCGGACAGACCCTTGGCCCAAGCTGCAGAACTCACCAACCACATGAAGGTGAAGACTGCGGTCACGCCCAGGTCCTGGAATGAGTCCGACATGAGGGTCAGCTGTTTGCTTCAACACATTTAACAGATTTTACATTGTTCCTGCGGACAGGCCCAACAGAAGCCACCACCTAACCCTAACCCTGTCCGTCAAACATCACAGGACTCAAATCAGAGCATGAACTCTGTGGTGGGTCGAAGGTCACTTTGACTAATGATGATGATGATGATGTCCATGGTGGACAAACATGAAAGAGCAGCTCACCTGGTGACGACCAGAGAACTGGACTCACCAGAACCAATCAAGAGTTCTGACTCCAGCATGGAGACAAATCTAACCGTGGTAGAGACAGTCCTGTGAGGTAAAGATACTTCAGTGGTCATCAGTGCATGTTCCCATGTAGTGACCAGATGTGTGCTCTGAATCTGACCATCACACCTGAGAAACACCCCGGTGGAGCAGCGGGGGGTTCGGTGTCTTGCTCAAGGACACAACAACTGAGACAGCTAGAACTGGGGATCGAACCAGCGATCTACATGTTCCAGGACTCCCCTAACCACTCTGCCACAGTTGTACCATATCTATGTCTTGTTTTGGCGGTCCAATCTGTTTCTATCAGATCAGAGTTCAGATTTCAGCCCAGATGGTTCTGAACTTCAGGAAGTCTCGTTCCTCATTTAAAGTGTTTGGAGCCAGTTACTCTGCTCTGGTTTACGTCTCCGACTCTGAGTTAACGGGCCGAGCTGAGGGGAGGAAGCAGAACTCAGGTGGGCTTCACAGAGCTACACCTACAATCAGAGGACCCTTGTTGTTCTCCTTGTACTTCTCGTAGAAGAAGATGTAGATGCTGAGAGCCGCCATGGAGTAGAGGAAGGCGAAGACACCAATGGTGACGAAGAACTCAGATGAAGATGAGTAATCTCCAACCAGGAAGACACGATCCGTCTTCCCCTCCTCACAGGTGGGGGCGTCGAAGTACACCTGATGGAGTCTGACAGGAGAAGACTGGTAAGGACCCTGTGGACCAGGCTCAGTCAGGTCCTCCTGAAACCTGTAGGTCTCTGACTCACCTGAATGGATACTCAAAGTCCACACTGAGGCTGAGGTCGCTGTCCGTCCGGTTCTTACACTCCACCGCCATCTTGAACATCCCAGAATAACTGCCACAGGTGGAGAAGGCGAAGATGGCAAAGAACTGCAGGGAGAAGGAGTTGATTATTCTGGTCTGTCTCTGAACATGATGGATCTTTTTCTAATATTCAGTTCAAGTTACAACAACTGTTGTCTCAGGGCACTGTACACAAAACACAATAACTCTAAAGAAGCAGCAGACTGCGCTGAAGCTTGGCTTCGTCACAGTCTGAGCAGCACACCAGCAGCATTGGAGCGTTAATAATGAATCTTCTTACATCAGAGTTAGTCATGGAGTTCCTCAGGGTTCGGTGCTTGGACCAGTCCTCTTTACTTTATATAGATATATGCTTCCATTAGAGCTGCGCGATACGATCAAAATTTTATATCACGGTATTTTCAACATTTTCACTGGTTTCACGGTATTTGATGGTATTTTTCTTTTCATCACAGCTCAGCTGATAATAAAATGTACAAA